AAAAAAAAAAAAACTCGTAGCAGTTAATTGAACGACTGAATGAAAACCAAAGTGGATACGATTATGCAACGAGCACGTTGTTTAGACAATAAAGACCTGCTTATTTATGTCCTTACAAATTTATTTCCTGCATTCACAACTCAAAAGTCTTTTAGACCAAGTGACCAACTAATGAAAACCACCATTTGCCGAACAACGAAAGGTTTGTCCACTCAAGCACGCTCTTTTTCGTACACACTGGCCGCATATTTCCAGTTCATCACATTCCATATATTCTTCAAGTAGTCTGGTCTCGCATTCTTGTACTGCACGAGCAATATTCATATCAGTAATTTCCGAACACAAGCAAAAAATAATAATAAGAAAAAATAAATAAATAAAATTATGCCGAGCCATTTAAACTAGAAATCTAGAAGAACCATCATAAATACCTGTACAGAACATGCAAGCAAGCGAAACATAAATAGGAAAACAAGCAAACAAGAAAATAAAACATTTTACAATGTAGTAGTGGTTAAGAAGGCAACAATATCATAACCCCAATATTCTTATCCAAGAAATGATTAGTGCACTGATTTGGCTCCTAATGAAAGATGTAGGTTATATTTGGTAACCAAATAAGCTAGCTTATAGCTTATTTGGTTAGTTTATAAGTTTCATATATTCAAACAAGCTTTGATTGGTGGGACGAGCTTTTTTACAAAACTCGAGTTTATCTCATAAGTTTCATTGGGTAGCTTTTCAAATAAGCTCGTTGAACTTTTTATTTAAGCTATTTACCGAACACTATTATCATATAAGCTAGCTTTTCAACTATAACTGCTATAAGCTATAAGCTCGAAAATCATTTATAAGCTATAAGCTAGCTTCTAAGCTAGTTTTACCAAACACAGTCGTGATTGAGATAAGAAAAGCTACCTGCAAATAGTAGGCATGTTCCCACACGTCAATACCAAGCAATGGAACCAAACTTGCTCCTTTAGTAACCAGTGGATCCTGCAAAAAGAAGATTGATATATAACTTTCATTTTTCAAGTGAGAGATTCAGATATGAACTACCAAGATTACTCATGTTTACTGTTTACACTTTACACATCCAGAAATTAACATAAACGCCTCCAAGTTCTTCACAAGGCACACTGAATAGAGATTCTTCAGCCGCTCAATTATTCGGAATATGCAAGCAGTTATTCTAAAGTTGATATAGTCGTTCTTCGGTTGTTGACAACATTCAACATTATGACAAAGTAACACATGACACATGCAAATAATAAAAAACCTAATTTAAATCTCATTCTACACTAATTAGAATAAATATATTCAAAAGCTAGATCGTGAACTCCAGTAAAATTATATAGTAAAGCAGATTCCACATCACAAATCGAAAAAAAAAAAAACCAGAAGCCAAATGAGAATCGACATAAAAAAGTATGTTTCTTACCTGATTTGAGGTGGTCTCAACCGACAGGCGCTTCAGTTCTTTGTCAAAAGCAAGCCACTAAAAAAAAAAAGATATTAACAAAAACTGTCAAACATCTTGTGCGAACGTGAAGTACAAAAAATATATGATAAAAAAAAAAAAGGATCTTACCACCCATCCGGAGCCTTGTAAAGCTGCACCTTCTGCATTCATCTTCTGAATAAGCCCCTCCAATGACCCAAATGCATTTTCCACAGCCAAACCTAAAGAGCCTTCGGGAGGTTCACCGCCACCTTCCTGCATCAGAGGTTTTCGAGTTTTCCAATAATAGCTTTCAACAAAACATAAAGATTAGGCGGGAGACAAACTTACACGAACGGGAGCAAGATTGTTCCAGAAAATTGAGTGATTAATATGACCTGCAGACAATCATCCCATTTCAAAGGATCATCAAATGAAAATCCAAGTAAAAGAACTTGAAACACTATGACAAAGTTAAAATCACAAAAATGCCACCAGATAACAAGTGCAAATTCGCATGTCCATAAAAAGACTGAATCATTTTTTCTCTATAGATCTTTCTTTTGCAAAATGTACACCAACAACCAAGAAAATACAGCACAAAGTTATTTTTCCCTCAATCACCTTAAGGCCATTTATTTGACTGGTATAATACGTTTGACAATTTTAGATGCTTCAAGATTCAAGTAGGAAAAAAATGAGAAATAGAAAGTGATAATTCAGATTTGCATTGATGCTTATCAGTTTAACAAATTCCTCCATGATTGAGTCCAATTTGACGGTCCCAATGTCATTTCACTACAACAATCCCTAGTCATATTCCTAAAACTGCATTAAAATATATTCTTAGTTTACCTACCAACAAGCCTAACGAAACAGAAATGGCCAAATACTATCAACAAAGCACAATGAGAGAGAAAGAGCTGTTCAGACCTCCGCCATTAAATTTGATGGCACTCTGCACCTTGACAACAGTCAAAGTATCCTTCTTTGAAATGGCAGTGTCGAGCTGCTCAAGAGCCTTGTTGTAATTAGTTATGTAAGCCTGGTGGTGCCTTTTGTGGTGAAGCTGCATGATCTCCGCGCTGATGACGGGCTCGAGGGCACCATAATCGTAGGACAGATCTGGTAGTGACACTGTCTGCAATCCCCGAAAACCCAATCGCAAAGGGTTTAGGGGTTTTTTGGTAATTAGGGTTCGCAAAGCCATTTTTGCTCAAAGTTTTTCTGAAAATTGGAAGATGAGTTAGATATAAGCCAGTGTAACCACAAAAGGTAGGCTATTTTAGGATGTAAAAATTGCAAACTAGTATTTTTATATAAAAATTACATGGCCTGGAGTGAAAATAAGGGATATTCATGTTAAAAGGTTTAAAATATATACTGAGAGTTTCCTACCACCTTCATTAATGTTTTAATAACTAAATTATCTTCACATAGTTATTTTTTGCATTTCTTTTTATTATTTTAATTATTTAATGAGAACTTAAATAATTAAATATGTATAAATACTATATCTAATTAAATTATATTTCAACATTAAGTACACTTGAAACATACTACAATTTATGTTGTAGTAATACTAATATCTGTATATAAGAATTTTATGGCAAGAATGAAAACAATAACTTCATGTTAAAGGTTCTAATTTATTGAGAAATTACTAACAACTTTGTTAATGATTTAAAATATCTTCATAAATAATATGTTCAAAGTTTCCTACAACCTTCATTAATATTTAAAATATCGTCAAATAAATATTGTTGATTTTTTTAATAATATAATCACAACTTAGATACTTAAAATTTTATAATATAATACATCTAGTTAAACCTACGAATGGCAATGGGGCAGGTCGGGCCGGGTAAATCGGTACCCGGACCTGCCCCGCGACACTAGGCCCGCGCCCCGACCTGGCCCGTGACCCGTCACGGGTCCAGGAAGGCTGCCCCGCCCTGACCCGCCCTTTTTTTTTTTGCCTAAAATGACATCTGCCACAGTTCATCTACAAACCTACTGCTCACCTACATCAACATCTACGACCCATGCCTCCTGAGCACTATGAAATCTAAAGTCTAACTTCAAAGACCATGGCCAAAAGCATCAAACATCTCACCCACCATGAGAAATAAGAATGAAGAAATAGGTAGCATGAGCAATTTATCAAGAATCAAGATTAACTACTGATGTACACAAAATTCAAGGAAATAGCAAAATTGATTTCAAAGATAAAACCCCATCAATTTCAAAGATAGTAATTAACAATTACAGTCGGCAGGACGTCAAGGCGGCAAGGCGGGACGGTGTTACGGAGGAGAGGCGAGACGGTGTGATGGTGGGAGAGGCGGTGCGACGGTGTCAGAGGAAGGAGAGGCGGACGGTGTCTGGTGGGCTTGGCCGGATTTGAGAAGATGGAGACAAGAGATGGGCCGCAGTTCGCAGACACACGCAGAGGAGAGGCGGGGAGAGATAAGGGATTGAGTTTTTTTAGCTAAAATGAAAACCTAATTTTTAGTTATGTATTTAATTATATTATATATATATTAAGTGGGCCGGGGCAGGGCAGGGCAGGGCAGGGCGGGGAATATATGGGACCCGGACCTGGCCCGTTTTTCCAACATGTCGAACCCACCCCGGCCCTTTTATAAACGGGGCGGGCCAAATCTGCCCCAAACGCTCCTGGTCGGGCCGGGGTCGGGTCCAGGTCACTTTGCCGTTCCTAGTTAAACCGTATTTTAACATTAAAAGTACTTAAATCTACCATAATTTTTGAAATCAAAATATAGGGTTTAGAATTTGAGATGGTAATCTCAATTTATTGATATCTTACGGAATTTGTTCACGAGGAAAGAAAAAAGATAGCAACGCATGATCTGATCGGGAAAAGGGAGCATGCTTCTCCTTTCATATTGTTGATTCAAGAGTGAGTTTGTCATTGTTCAACTTTAGCAGGCCATGTTTGCCAATCTTTATTTTTTATTATCAGCAAATTGTGAAGAGAGGATTTGTTACTCTGTGATTTAAGGTGTCAAGATTATGGACATGCTATGCATTTTAACTATAAACTTAGTGTATAATGGTTTACAAAGTTTCGTTGATAACTTTGTTGAAATATTGTTCCAATAATATAAAGAACGCATTTGGAATTGATACAATAAAGCAAGCACTCCAATTGATGTGTGAAATTGGTAAGGAGTTCTCGCATACCAGTTGAACTAACTAGTGAAAGTACTAATATCTAATGTGCTCTTTGACCCAAAGCAAGGAACAATGTGATAAAAAGTATGTGAGTTGGCAAAAACTTATGTATCGATTTCTAATCCAAGTTTTCGAAGGGGAAAAAAGGCTAATGGCTCAGGTGAATCCCTAAAATGAATTTTACAGATCAAGCTAACAAAGAGTTCAGGTACGTAGAAATCAAAACCGAGTATACATTGCTCAAATTGTACATAAAATCAGCAATGTAATAATGCAAGGATATGAACCAACTCAATCATAACTCATAAAAAATAAAATTTCCAAAATGTCTTCAATTCAGCCAGAATTCTTGCATTTGAAAACCCCATATTCTTCTCTATTTTATAGCTATATTTTATATATATATATATCAAAACTTCAAATCATTTGAGCAGGTAATTAGTTGAATGAATTAGTTAGCTCAAGCTTATAGTCCAGCTCAAAAAACCTTACAAAAATGAAAAAAAAAAAAAAATACAAATGAATTAACATTAACAATCACAAATATCAAGAACATATATTCAAATTAAACCGAAAAATAACGAAAAGGGTGTTCATAAAATCAATCAGAAAATGTCCAAGAGGTGTAAAGGCTTCAAAATTTTCGGATGAACAAAACGAAAATACCATGAATTAACACACAAGATAGCAAAGGTTATCTCAAATACCATGCATATACAATACCTGTATGTATTGGGGCGCCGGCTTTTTACAGGGAGCCGATGCGTTCAGCTTCGAGAAGTGACGGAACAAGAAAACCCTCGAACCAGAGAGCAAAGGTTATCTCAAATAAATAGACAAGGGTGAGAGTGCAAATAACATATAGTATATGATTGGGGATGTAAGGGACCAAAAGATTAAATATGCATAAATTGCTTGGCAGTACTGTTGCTTTGCTGGCGAGTTGTTGGATCTTACACATGTAACAAAATGACAATTTAGGGCTTAAACTATTTGGTGTTGTTCACTTAAAACCACACTATTTGAACAATAATTTGAATTGCATCAAATTTATTGCGGTTTTTTAAAATATTAACCGCACTGCAAACCAAACTCTCCAGAAATTGAATCGAATTACACCGAATACATTGATTCGACTCGATTTGTCAGTTTCAACTCGGTTTTGTTTAGCCCTAGGTGAGAGTAATTCGAAGCACTACACAAGTCCAGAGATTGACATTCTTCAATTTATCTTATCAAACCATGTCATTTTTCATAATATTTTTTCGTTTGAAACTTGTACATTGGGTATTTATAGAGATCAAGTGGTGTTGAACTAAAAATTTGAGCTAAGAAGATTAAAAAAAGTTGGAGCTACTAATTAACAAATGTTGAATAAGAAGAGAAATAGTAAGATACATTACGTGCGTATATCTTGATTTGTGGCTATCAGATGAAGCTGGTGGCTTAAACGGGCCGGGCTTATTTGTCCTTTCCCTTGTCGATATGACTGCCGATGCAACAAGAATTACACGATTCAGGAGTTGCCTAAAGTGACGTGCTAACAGGGGCGACTGGACTTTAAGTAGCTCATCAGTAATGTCCTAAAAAAATATACAGATAGGCCCGACTCAATTAACCAAAGATCAATGGAACTAATCTTGAAATAAGAGAAACTCGTTAAACTATTTGTTAAGAAAATTTTCTTGATCTAATAACTTTATATCGTGTTTTGAAGTACTGAAGAATTAGGAAAGGAATGTATGGTTGGTTAGCTTTGTTAAAGAAGGAATAGCTCGTGGCCATTTGCATGATTTTTGTGAACTGCACACTTGGAAAAATGAGAAACAAATATTTTCAAAATATACCTTTAACCAAGATTAACAAAAGAATAAAACTCAAGTTGGAGGTGCTACCATCCCGTTACATAACTATTCTGTCGGAATTTGTAGTCGTTAGATCAATTATTCCCGACTGTTGATGATCTAGCGGTTACAAATCCCGACGATATGATTCCGTGAATAATTTCGCTACGGTCCCGTTACAGAATCAATTCTGTCGAAGTTTGTAACCGTTAGATTAACTATCTCTAACAGTTACATGATGATTTAACAGTTACAAACCCCGACGAAATGGTTCCAGGACCTTAACATTTCCCTATAAATTAGTTAAATTTAACAAATTTAACAATGAGAGCACATATTTATACTTTCATGATTTCTTTTTCAACAAAGAATTTTAAACTTGAAAAATTGAAGCACAATACTACAATAGTATATTTAATAGTCTTTTTTATTAATAATTATATGTTTTTTATTTTTTTATTTTCTCTCTGGAAAATAATTCTTTTATTTCCTCAATTCTGAATTTGAAAGGGGAAAAGGACGGAAAACGAAGACGACAGAGCACCAAAGACAGAACCGAGTTATCCTACTCAGTCGACAGTCCGTCCATCTCCGACCGGCGGAAAGGCAACTCGCTGCCGGCGCGGCTATTTTGGTCCCACGGCCAAAGCTTCAAAGAGGTAAACTCCTACTCCCCACCTGTATGACTCCAAATCGCGCAAGTGACTGAACTCGAATTTCCTTGTGAAATATGTGTTTTGTTATACTGGATTAGAGAGGCTCTTGTTGATTGTGATTGGGCCAAAAAAAAAAAAAAAAAAAATGATTCCCTCTATCTAAGGTTTATTTATTTATTTATTTATTTGGAGTTTTTTGTTGATTTGTATCAATTGGGATGTGAGGCTTTTGGCTTAATGCTTTTATTTATGTTTGTGGACAGTGAAATTTGGAAGAGTTTGTGTCATACCTCCGAGATTTTGATGATAATATGTAAATTGTCAAGCATGGCTACTGATCTGCAGTTCTCAATTTAACAAATTGATATTATAAATTCACATTTGTTTTTCAGACTTTCGAATTTTATGTTTTTTTTTTTTTCTCAATTTGTGTGCTGAAATGAATTGTGTGGTCGATTCCTGATCCTATCCGATGAATGGTGAAAAAATTGGTCTTTAAAAATTCTCTGTTCTCTTTCATTGCCTCTCTGATGGGTAATTCTGGTTGAATATGAACCCCAATTGGAATGAATGGCACTGTAGAAACTAACATTTTTCGGAGAAGGATAGAAAGAGATTTCTCTTTCAATGGTATTTACTGGAAATTTGGTTTGGGTTTTAGCTGTTGATGCCATAGTTCGAGTATTTTATGATGAGTAACGAGTTGTTCTGCTGTTTAGGTTTTTGAATCTATTATTTGGTTTTATGCCACGTGAGTGATGAATTTGTTATTTCATGCATATTACTTATAGGAGGTCATCAATGGTTAAACGAAGAGGCAGACCTAAAAAACAAGTGAGTGACAAAGACAAGGGCAATCAAAATGGAGTCGAAGTACAGAAGGATGAAGATGCATTTCAAGGTCATGAAGGTGTTAATTTCATCTTTAAGATACCTAGATTAGTTTATTGTTTATGCACGAGCATGCCGACTAAACCTTGTTGCCAAAAAGTGTGGGAAGAGAAATTGCCTGTTAGACTGTGATTTTATCTGTCAAGAGTTTCGTGAATATCCCATGTTGAAATAATGTTACAGTAATATGAAGAACACATTTGGAATTGATACAATGAAGCGAGTACTATATGTTTTTCAATTGATGCGTGAAATAGTTATCGTATCCCTAGTTGAACTGACAAGTGAAAGTACTGATGTTTAATGTGCTCTTTGCCCTAAAGAAGGAACATTTGCAATCATTGCTGAGTTACCGAAATTTGTGTTGAGTTATTTTGAAATGTCAAACATTGGAATGATTCTGGGGAAAATCAAGTCTTGTTTTGACATAGACCGAGTCATTATTTTTTAATATGGTTCAACTCAATGAAATAACCAGCATGCTTGCATAGATTAAAATAGATTTTGGGTGTAGACCCATTTTTGTAGACCTTGTGATATCGGATTTTAACAAAATTTTGCTCCAGTTGAACGTCAAAGTGCAGCAATTAGGGCTATTCGTGATGTGGAGATTGAACAATTGCTGACTATGTTACGGTTACTCAAATCAAACTTCAGCAAGGAACAGTTGCAGGTTCCCGTGCTGCAATTTTTTAGGGAAAACTTCCCGAACATATTAATTGATGAATCTGGTGAAGCTAAATGGAAACACGAACTGAACAATGCTGATGAAAGAACACTGCATGCTTCTCTTTTACGTCGGCTGTCGATGGCTTATCCTGATTACTCTTCTGCTGGAATCGCTTCTATGGCCGGTGGCTTTGAGTTCTCAAATAAATCCGGTATTTTAAATACTTCTGTACCGTCGTGTTTGTTTTCAGTTTTATAACCAAATGCCTGATGCAATTTTTTTTTTTTTTTTGTTCATATTATTGCAGTTAAAACAAGCATGTTCGGTGCTGATAAACTGCAAATCAGGAGTCTTGTATGTTCTTGTTCAACTTTAGTCGACGAATTTTCCTAATCTTAATTTCTAACATGCCCTCTGCCTTTATATCGATTTCTCATCCAAGTCTTTTGAGGGACAACACTGATATTAATTTGAGTTTCATTTCTTAAATTTAGCTGCATTTACTTTGCTTTTTATCTGTTTCAGGTCTTTGAAGAGCCACCTGATTCACACTTGAAGGATGGAGGCATGAAAACTCCAAATGTATGTCTCTAATTGTTTCAGTTTTCTGTTATTATCATTCATTTTTTATTTCTTTTTGGGGGCTATAATTAGCACGCTCTTAGTGGTCATAGTTCTTTTCATCAGAACTATAGATAAACTTGAAGTTAGTCAAAAGCTTAACCTGGTGAACTAGCGACACTTAATAAAACTAAATTATTTCATTCAGAAAATAAGCTTATGGTAGATTTGAACTGTTGTATCTAATTATTCTCTTAGATGTCTAATCTGTTTACATCATATTGACATTGTTTTCTGCTTTTCTGGTACTATAATAACAGGTGAATAATAATCGGTTATCTGTTGGAGTAACACCCAAAACCGTAAGGCTTCCAAAGTGTGGTGAGGTTCTTCTTTCTGTGCACGGTTCGCCTCTTGGAGTTTATAAGGAAGATAACATGGAAACTATACAAGGTATTCTTTGATATATATTCATTATCTCTGCAACTTTCTCTTGGGATACTTGAATGTAAATTTCGAAAGTTGATCAAAAGACATGATTGAGAGAAGAACATTTGCAGTTTGGAGTCTCTGTTTTTTGCAATCTTAATGAATAGCTTCTATTAAAAAATCATCAGTTTGGTGTAACTATTTAATCAGTTAAACGATCAAGGTCGATTGCAATTGATAACTACAAAATTTACCTTAAAAAACTAATTTAAATGCTGAATGCTAACATCATGCAGAAACGGAAGACGATTGAATGGTGAGAAATGGCAGACTTGTGATAGTCGAGGAAGATTTTCCCGACTTTTTGTGCACACTCGATCATATGTACTTAGATTAGTGTGTGTTAATATGAACTCTGTATGTTACCTAAGATTTTCCAGACTTTTTTTTTTTTTTTTTTTTTT